ATATTTAGAACGCTCTTTCCAGCAGCCCAAGAGCCATCATTCGGTCGCGAGAACAATTGGACATAAAAAGTCCCCTCTTCGTCAGATGGCGAGGCCGAACACAGAGTGTCCCCAGGAGAACTCCAGGGGGATAAAATATTTGTGCAATTATAACTGTTCTTCCTCCCCTTCACTGCACTTCCTGCCTCCCCCCCACTTCTGTTCCGCATTTATCAGCCATATAACTACCTGGGAAAGCGGAATGACCTCACAGGTCCCTGGACAGGAGGTACTGGCCCCGATCGTAAAGTGACATAAGCAGCATTCCAAGGATGAGTCATGGCATCCTGGCAGCCCAGATGACACACCGTTACTCAGCCCTTTTCTCTTCGGTGCCAAACTCTCTCTCTTCCCCTAAACCTTATTTTATTTCTTTATGCATTGGTTTCCTGCCTTTATTATTTTCCCAAGTAACATAAGAACGTATCCAACACGCCTTCCTCCTCCTAGTTTCCTAACAACAACTCTGTGAGGTGGGTTGGGCTGAGAGAGAGGAACTGGCCCAAAGTCACCCAGCTGCCTTTCACGTCTAAAGTAGGACTAGAACTCACCCGCTCCTGGTAATTGGCCCAAAGTCACCCAGCTGGATTTCATGCCTAAGGCAGAACTAGAATTCACATTCTCCTGGTGATTGGCCCAAAGTCACCCAGCTGCCTTTCATGTCTAAAGTGGGACTAGAACTCACCCGTTCCTGGTGATTGGCCCAAAGTCACCCAGTTGGATTTCATGCCTAAGGCGGAACTAGAATTCACCCTCTCCTGGTGATTGGCTCAAAATCACCCAGCTGGATTTCATGCCTAAGGCGGAACTAGAATTCACCCTCTCCTGGTGATTGGTTCAAAATCACCAGCTTGCTTTTCCCAAAGATAGGACTAGAACTCACTGCCTCCTGGTGACTGGTCCAAAGTCATCCAAATGGCTTTTGTGCCTAAAGCAGGACTCGAACTCACAATTCTCCCACTTTCTAGTCTAGTGCCTTAATCACTAGATCAAACTGGTTCTGTTTTAGTAGTCACCCTTCCCTAAACTTGTGCATTTGACTGCAATGCCAATAATCCCCAACCACCCTGACAGGTCTCCAAAGACGAATGTACAGATCATGATTCAAGGACTGTGTCAGGATCAGACCTCCAGTTTTGCTACTCCCAGAGAGAGCTAAACCAGTGTTACTCAATAATGGCCGCTTTAAGACAGGTAGACTTCAACTCCCAGAATTCCCCAACCAGCTGACTGGGGATTTTGAGAGGTGTGATCTTGGTCTTTTAGAGGGCTCCAGACTGAATGAAAGTTGAAAGTGGGGACATACCAACAATTTGGACACAAGCAGAAGAAAAGCAGGACACTTCGGTCAAAACTAATCAGATTTGATGTCCAATGTCATTCATGAAATAAGTGAAATACATGCTTATAATCTAGCGGTGAAGGTACTAGGCTAAAAAGCAGGAGACTGTGAGTTCAAGTCCTGCCTTAAGGATGAAAGCTGGCTGGATGAATTTGGGCCAATCACCAGGAGATGGTGAGTTCTAGTCCTGCCTAAGGGTTGAAAGCCAGCTGGGTGACTTTGGGCCAATCACCAGGAGGAGACAGTGAGTTCAAGTCCTGCCTTAGGCATCAAAGCTGCCTAGGTGACTTTGGGCCAATCACCAGGAGATGGAGAGTTCTAGTCCCGCCTTAGTCATGAAAGCTGGCTGGATGAATTTAGGCCAATCACCAGGAGACGGTGAGTTCTAGTCCCGCCTTAGTCATGAAAGCTGGCTGAATGAATTTAGGCCAATCACCAGGAGACGGTGAGTTCTAGTCCTGCCTTAGTCATGAAAGCTGGCTGGATGAATTTAGGCCAATCACCAGGAGACAGTGAGTTCTAGTCCTGCCTTAGTTCTTATGAGACGGTGAATTCTAGTCCTGCCTCAACCCTACCCACCTGTTGTTATGGGGAAAATAGGTGGAAGAAGATGTGCTGAATATGTTCGCTGCCTTGGGTTATTTGTAAAAATAACAAAGGTGGATATAAATAAATAAAATTTAAACTTCCATACATTTATGAATGTCTCCTTTCCTTCGCATTAAAAAATCACATTTGGCAGCCAGCTTTGGGAGCCAATGACCGCTCCAACTCCTCTGTCCCAGGTGCTGAGGGAAATATCTTGAGAAAAGGAAACCACAAGATCATTCAAAAAAATGAGACGTTTTACATCAAACTAAACCCATTTCCTTTCCTAGAATTCTGTCATCGACTCAGCCTATTTGAAGCCCTCAACCATTGATCAAAGGCAGGCATCAGCTCTCTCAACGGTTTTTTTTAGAAATATCCCTTATCGTGGGGTTTCTTCATTTAAAGCAGAGGTCTTCCAACTTGGCAGCTTTAAGACTTGTGGACTTCAATTCCCAGAATTCTCCAGCCAGCTTAATTCGTGGACTTCAATTCCCAGAATTCTCCAGCCAGCTTAACTTGTGGACTTCAATTCCCAGAATTCTCCAGCCAGCTTAATTCGTGGACTTCAATTCCCAGAATTCTCCAGCCAGCTTAGCTTGTGGACTTCAATTCCCAGAATTCTCCAGCCAGCTTAGCTTGTGGACTTCAATTCCCAGAATTCTCCAGCCAGTTTAGCTTGTGGACTTCAATTCCCAGAATTCTCCAGCCAGCTTAGCTTGTGGACTTCAATTCCCAGAATTCTCTAGCCAGCTTAGCTTGTGGACTTCAATTCCCAGAATTCTCCAGCCAGTTTAGCTTGTGGACTTCAATTCCCAGAATTCTCCAGCCAGTTTAGCTTGTGGACTTCAATTCCCAGAATTCTCCAGCCAGCTAAGTTTGTGGACTTCAATTCCCAGAATTCTCCAGCCAGCTTAGCTTGTGGACTTCAACTCCCAGAATTCTTCAGCCAGCTTAGCTTGTGGACTTCAATTCCCAGAATTTTCTAGCCATCTTAGCTTGTGGACTTCAATTCCCAGAATTCTCCAGCCTGCTAAATTGGCTGGAGATTTTGGGAGTTGAAGTCCACAAGTCTTAAAGCTGCCAAGTTTGAAGACCTCTGGTTTAAAGGATTTCTTAATTTTAAAAAATGACATTGCTATATAGACTCAGCATCTTTAAGATGTGTGGACTTCAACTCCCAGAATTCCCCAGCCAGCTATGAGGGGATTATCCAAGTGGTTCATTGTACTATTAATTGAAATACAGGTAGTCCTTGACTTTACAACAGTTCGTTTAGTGACCATTCAAAGTTACGACGACACTGAAAAAAGTGACTTATGACCATTTTTCACTGTTATGGCCTTTGCGGCATCCCTATGATCGCGTGATCAAAATTCAAACGCTTGGCAACTGATTAATATTTTGACCGTTGCAGTATCCGAGGGTCATGTGATCTCCTTTTGCAAACTTTTGACAAACAAAATCAATGGGGAAGCCAGATTCATTTAATAACTGTGTTATAAATTTAACAACTGCAGTGATTCCAGAAATCCAGCAGGTTCTGACAGGTTCTGGCGAACTGGTAGCGGAAATTTTGAGCAGTTCGGAGAACCGGCAAATGCCACCTCTGGCTGGCCCCAGGGTGGGGTGGGAATGGGGATTTTGCAGTATCCTTCATCTGGGGTGGGGTGGGAATGCCCCCTGCCATGCCCACCAAGCCACGCCCACAGAACCGGTAGTAAAAAAAAATTGGATTTCACCACTGAGTGATTGATTCACTTAACAGCTGTGGCAAGAAAGGTCGTAAAAGGGGGCAAAACGCATTTATCAAACATCTCACTTAACAACAGAAATGTTGGTCTCAGTTGTGGTCATAAGTCGAGGACTACCTGTAATATTTATTAAATTGATTTTATTAAAAAAAATTGGGGGGGGTCACTGAACAATTAGAAACGTCATGAAGCACTCAATGCTATCCAGGGAGCCTGGATAGCTCAACAGACAGAGCTCTGTAATTTAACACCAGCTGTCTGCAATTAAAGTAAGATCGAATCTCGCCAGGCTCAAGGTTGACTCAGCCTTCCATCCTTTCTAAGGTAGGTAAATTGAGGACCCAGTTTGTGGGGGCAATAAGCTGACTTTGTATAAATATACAAAAGTATGAAGGCTATTGCTTAACGCATTGTAAGCCGCCCTGAGTCTCCGGAGAAGGGCGGCATATAAATCAAATTAAAAAAAAAATGAGCTTGGGGAACCCTGATCTGATCAAAGGATGGTTTACACAACCCTTATTCACAAACCCAGGTTAACAAAGCAAACCTCTGCATTTGTACACTATGCAGCACCCAAGGAAATAAGCCCCACTGGTTGACCCAACAGGAAAAGACATCAGCTGGATTCCTTCCACGGATAGTCCCTTTTTAATCCACCCTGGTTAATACAGGTTGAATTCAGCCATCTGAATGAAGTTCGACCTTTTCTCCAAGCAGATGCTCCTTCCAAAATACAACTGTGGCCAGCAGCAAAATGTCCCTTGCATGGAATTTTTTTTATATATATATAATTTGAAGGTTCCCAGCTGCAACTTCAAATGGAGAAAATGTAGCGAGAGCAGAGAGGCCCACATCTCCATCATACGTTAAGTTCTGAATCATCTTCTGGTTCAGCTAAAGGTTGTCTCGATACCCCCATCAGAACTTCAAAGGCAACCATGAATCCCTAGAGGGTTTCTCAACCTTGGCCACTTTAAGATGAGTTGATCTCAACTCCCAGAATTCAGGGAATTGGAGTCCACCCATCTAAAAGTGCCCAAAGTTGAGAAACACTGCCCTAGTCTCATGACAATGACCAACTCTGAAGGAAACTTACAGTACAAGGTACAGGAGTGTCCACCAGAGCTCCTGCTCCATACCAAGCATTTCATCTTCCAAATTAATTCTTCTGCAGAAGAATCATGAAGGAAGAACCTTCCCCCCCCCCTTTCTCCATCCACTTGAGCTGGACATCCATCTTCCTTCCACATCCAAGATTATCCTCGGGACTCACCTACCTGCTTAGGGATCAGGAGGTGTTTGGCCCCTCGATGGCAGAACGACTTGAGGACACCCTTCTCCTCAGAAGCTCTTGATCTGGGTGGGGTTATAGGGGCCAAGAGATCCTGCCACCGGGCAGCTGCTCTCTTTCGGACAGCTGGGGAGGGACAACTGTGTCTTCAGCCCAGCTTCTGAAGCAGATGGAATGACTCAGCTTCTGGTGAACTGTCCAGCTCAGGAAAGAAGGCAAGAGATAAGCTAAGCATGGACATGCTTGGGGTACGAAAGAGATGCCTTCTCCCCCCATGCCATCTATTTTGCAAAATCTCTCCTTCTCCACTTCCTAGTTCTCTGCAGTTGTTTACACAGATGCTACTTTGCCCCTCCCTCCGAATCCTTCAGTTACAATCTGGATCCCCACCAAATATGTAACATTTGGAATCAGAACATGCCTTCTGCAAGAGCCGGTCGGCCAGTGCCAAGGTCGGAGACTGGCAAATATATATTATGAGTGGCAGGGAACAGAAGGTGCTGGTTGATTTATATGTCAGTGTGGAGGCTGTGATGCATTCTGGCTCGGCTTGGCTGCAAATCGCAATAAATAGACAGGGGAAATTGCAAAAAAATAGAAGGAATCCAAGAGATGTAACAGCAATAGCACTTAGACTTACCGCCTCACAGTGCTTTCCAACCCTCTCTAAGAAGTTTTCAGAGTCAGCACATTGCACCCAACGATCCGAGTTCTCATTTTACCGACCTTGGAAGGATGGAGTGCTGAATCAACCTTGAACCGGTCAGGATTGAACTCTTGGCAGTGGGCAGAGTTAGCCGGAAATACTGCATTCTAAACACTGAGCCACCAAATGTCTTAAAAAGTTTGTCATATTCAGTGGTGAAATCCAGGCGGATCTATCCGGCTCGTGCGATCCGGTAGGGCTGATGGCAGGAGGCTCCGCCCACACACTGGGATGTCATCACATTCCGTTTTTAACCCTCTGCGCATGCGCAGAAAAGGCGCGCGTTCACATTTCCAATCCAGTAGCGAAGGGAAGTGCATTTTACCCCTGGTCATATTCTTATGTCATAGAAACTGTATTGACATAATTGGCTTAACCCAGTCCAATACAGACCTCAGGGATGCATTGATATGACATACTATCAATTTTGTAGTTCTGATCCTGATTTAGCACGCCGTATATGAACTCAGATGGATTGGTTAGTTTATGATTCCGAATCTTACATCACTTCACAGTGCTGGATAAGATCTCTTTGAAGTAGCTACTGCAGACTAATCTTCTGTACAGAAGAATCTGGTCAACTAAAGTTCAACAATAAATTGGCGCTAGGTAAGGGACAATGGAATTCAAGGAGGTCTGGACTTGGCAAAGCAAGGACTCTAAACTGATGGTGGACTTAACTCCACCGCCCCAGCTCCGCCTGCTCTTCTCCTACATCACATCACACTTTCTTAAGAATGGCAAAAGTTGGTTGCTTGGAGACCTGAATTGTCAGAATCATGCCTGGCTTTGTTTTCTATAGACTTACTCACTCCCCCCCTACACACCCACCCCAGCTGCCTTTCTTGTCTGGTCTGAAACAGGGTTGGGTTTGATTCCTCTTCGCTTCTTTTCTCATGCAGAGTGCCTAAGTGACTTGTGTTTACTCCACCTTGCTCCATGTCACTCAATTTTTTTCATTCCGCAGGCAGAAAAAAAAATAAGAGGGGTGGAGGGGTTATAGGAGTGGAGTTGGGTGAAAGCAGCAAGATTTGAACCTTTGCAGAGTTGGGTATTTTTTAAAAAAAAACAGATTTAAAAATGGTTGAGCTGTGTGGGGGAGAAAGAAAGAAAGAAAGAAAGGTATGCATCAGATTAGAGGGTAACAAAAGTGGAAAGGAAGATAAATAGAACCCCACCCAATGAAAAATCTCTTTTGTTCACATAAAAGGCTTTCTGCACTCAAGTCCTCTACATGACTAATATCGCATTGTGGTGGATAAAAACCTCTCTGGCACATTATACAAACAAAGCAGAACTTGGCCACAGCAAACAAAGGCCTAAGTAACCGCGATTGCATTCATCTTAAAACAACAAATCAATTCTTCCCTATTAATGCCCTAAATACAAGGGTAGGAGCACTGTCCTGTTGTAATAAACAACCATGTGTTCAATTACCGTCTCTTTTCCCCAACTATTGCTCTCTTCAGTAATTATGGCGCGCGATGCATTCTACACTGACATTATATTAATGCACTGGGAGGGGAGACTTTAAATACGAATTAAATCAAGGCTAAACATTTCAGGAAGCCGTGCTCCATGCCTGCCACACAAGTGCTAACAGCACATTATTTAGAAGGAGGCAGAGAGGATTCTCCTCGCCCCCCCCCCCCCACAACACAGCACCACCGTTTTTTCCTTCTAGCAGCCGCTGCTTTTCCCTCTCTGATTAAGTAGAACAAACTGGAGGAGTGGGGGGGGGAACAGGAGGGAAGAAACCGGTATGCAAACCTAATGAAAATACAAAAAGAAAGAAAGAAAGAAAGAAAGAAAGAAAGAAAGAAAGAAAGAAAGAAAGAAAGAAAGAAAGAAAGAAAGATTGATTCTCTGCAGCCGTGCAACTCTGCCCCAGCCACATTGCACAGTTAACCTTTCTCCATTAGATCCCTCCGATTCTATTTTACGTGACAAAGGGGAGAATTGTCGTTAGCATGTCATAAATATGTACATGTGACAAATCAAGCCTGATGAAGAGACAGATCGCAACAAAGAAGAAAAGAAGCGGGATGGAAAAAGCAAGGGGAAAATGAACACAGAGAGAAAACTTTTGTTTGTATTATGGGATTATTATTATTATTATTATTATTATTATTATTATTATTATTATTATTAATAATTATTATTATTATTAAATCTTTAGTGAGATTCACAGCCTTTGAGGCTGGTTAATAGCTCAGCAGCTCGAGTCCTAACCAAGGACCTAGGAACTGTTAAGGTATCGTCAGAGGATGTAAGCTGTTCCGAGTAAGGTGGTTTTTTGTAGAGTCAAAATGTTCAAGTCCGGCAAATTTAGAATTTCTAAATAGCGGGGTAGCCCTTTGGGTATTGCTCCAAGGGCTCCAATTACAATCGGGACAACACACGATTTCTTTTTCCACAGTCCCTCAACTTCAATTTGCAAGTCCCGGTACTTTGTGATTTTTTTAAATTTTTTATATTATTATTATTATTATTATTATTATTATTATTATTATTATTATTATTATCATCATCATCATCATCATCATCATCATCATCATCATCATCACTCCCAAACAAAATGCAAGAGGATGTCGGTTGAGGAAAAGGAGCCTCTGGCTCTAAGAAGCATGCAAAGGATTTCTCTGAACCAAATATTGAATAGGGCCTTGTAAACAAGCCGAATAATGGGCAGGATGAAAGGTTAATGCGTAGAAGAACGTCTTCTTCCTTGTTTCACCCTCCGTCTCTTTCTCTTTAAAAAAAGTGGGGGAGGGAAAGGGAGGGATCCCTACTTGATGGTTTTTGTGCTGAGATACTAAAACAAGAGTTTCCTGCCTGAAATGGAAGGTGCCGGTTCTGCTTTGATCCAGACAGCGCATGTTGTTGTTGTTTTTTTTGCTTTAATTTAATTTTTTGCTTTAATTTATATGCCGCCCTTCTCCGGAGACTCAGGGCGGCTTACAATGCGTTAAGCAATAGCCTTCATACTTTTGTATATTTTATACAAAGTCAGCTTATTGCCCCCACAAACTGGGTCCTCATTTTACCTACCTTGAAAAGGATGGAAGGCTGAGTCAACCTTGAGCCTGGCGAGATTCGAACTTGCAGTAATTGCAAGCAGCAGTTGTTAATAACAGTGCTTTAGTCCACTGTACTACAGGCTCGGGACTGTAGTACAAGGACTTGTTTTATGCAAGTCCTTGGCTCAAATGCACCGAGTTGTCAACGAATGGACGATCAGCTAGGAAAATGAAGAGGGGAACTACTGGACTAAAGTCTAGGGAGATTCTTAGTCATCCAGATCATGGCTGTCCCAAAGGTGTTTTTTTTCAAGAGGCAACTGGACTTTCTGGTTTTTAACAAATTTTACGTCTCATCGAAGAAGCTTCTTGAGCTCTGAGCACCTTCAAGAAGCCCTTTTGGGATTGCTGGACTAAAGCTACGATGCTCATAGATGGGGTATAGAATAGAATAGAATAACAGAGTTGGAAGGGACCTTGGAGGTCTTCTAGTCCAACCCCCTGCCCAGGCAGGAAACCCTACACCACTTCAGACAAATGGTTATCCAACATCTTCTTAAAAATTTCCAGTGTTGGGGCATTCACAACTTCTGCAGGCAATATCCTTCAGCTGTGACCAACTGCAGCCATAAAGAAGCTGCTGAGTTCTGTGGAAGTTTCCATCAGGCTGGATGGCACAGAAAGTAGGGAAAGAGGAACACCTCTCAACGAGACATAAGATCAAGATTCATTTCTCCTATTTCCCAGAGATTCCCTGGTTCACCTGATCTGTTCAGCCTTTATTTCCTTCTCCAGGACACAGACCCCAATATAACTCCAAAGGTGGCAAAAAAATTTGCTGCAGTCGTGGCTGAAAAAAAAACGGGGGAAGAGACGGGTAACCCCTACGGCAGAGGATCACTAGTATTGACAGTACAGATTGTATCGGAGGCAGTAGATGGTGTACTGTCACATGATCTATCTATATTTGTAAAATATACTCCCCTTCTATGTGTATTTTAATTTGGTCTCTGACCACAATAAAAAGCTTACTTACTTACTCTGCCGGACTCCCAGATGTTAGTGCGCAGGCCCTCAGGGCCTCCTGCACCCCTGAAATAATAAGACCCCCAATAATAAGGCCAAGCCCTTATTTTGGGATTGAAAAGAAAATAAAACACCTGTCTTATTTTCAGGTAAACACGGTAACAGTGAAGATAATTTGCAGGTCACCTCCTACCGGCCTCCCACCGCCCAGTACACTCACATAGGGCTGCCCTCCTCCGGGTCCCCTTGGCCAGACAGTGTCGGCTGGCAGTGCCCAGGATGAGGGCGTTCTCTGTGGTCAAACTGACCCTCTGGAATGGGTTGCCCACCGGGCTCCGGACAGCCCCCGACCTCTGCACCTTCCA